CATCGGTTTTTTTTGGTTAGGGGAGCGACGGGCTCCAATAATATTCTGCAGTGCTCATAAATGGTGAATCCCCATGAATGGAGCAAATAGATAAAACGGTCTGGTCTCCCTCGATGTCTGACTCGTGTCGCGGCAGGCATTTATGCAAATGGGCGTCTTCTGCTCTATGAATAGCACGGATACACAGTCTTTTCCAAGGACAATACATTCAATTATCAAGTACTGCGCCAAGACAGGCCTTGGATTTGTATTTGCTTTTCCCGCTGGCTGTCACAGACATCGGCGGTTTACACAAATGACTCTGGTTCTGGTGCAACCTCGAGATTGTGGCAGCTGTACTCGAAGTCCTTGCTGTTAACACCAATTACACGACATGACAGGATGAAGCTGGAACAAGTAGTTCCATCCAAAAAGTGATAGCAAATTCCCCTGAAACTTGGTGTACAGATTTTCCCATCCCACCCCTTTGTGTGATTCCAACTCAATTTATGAAAACTTCCCGCCTCCCTCAAAGAAAAGACCCATTCGTGTCCCCTTAGCGTCAATGGTCTATGTGTAAATTGCTCGAAGAAGATGGGAATTTCAGGCTGATAAGGGATCAGGCGAATAAACTGGAGCAAATTGATGTCAGACCAACTGGCGGCAGGGAAGCGATAAGTCGCTTAATGTTGGCCTGCAGTATTTATGGCATATTCGAAGGCTTTCAATCGGGATCCCAGGCTTAACACTCCAAGGCGGTTAAATTGCCCAGCCTCGGGTTTTGCGGCATCTGAAAGTCAACCCAAAACAACAAGGAAAGCGTGGCTCTGAAGGTCGGGAAATACCTTTTAATGTTTAAGGCTTAAAACTTCAGTTTTTGATTTAATTTTCATGAGAAAAAGAAAACAAATATAACAAACTTTGAGTTTGTATTTCTGTTTTCTCTTGATTGTTCTTATGGGAGCTATAAGATATTGTCGGCAAATTCAGCCCGTTCCAACATATATAGTACCTACAGCAGAAAGAAGATTTTTTGCAGAATTAAGTCCAAATAGCTTTTAAACTGTGGGACCAGTTGCGTAGAGACGGATGGATAGAACATAAAAATGGGTGAAAAAATCGATCAATGTTAAAATTACAAATTACCCAAAGTCTTAAGAGGTATGTCACTTTGATACAGACTTAAATTTGGTAAAGTTATCGACTCTAGACGTCGAATTGTGGGTCTCCTTTAAATATTTTATTCTATTTGTCGATTTTGCGATAAATCTTTTGATTGTTCCAACGGCAGCTTAATGATACAGACGTCCGATTCTTATAAAGCTGTAAGCGAAAGAGTGGGAAAAGCTTCAGCCTAAACACTTTAAGAGTTTACGACTGGTTTGAATAGAATCGAACAGCCGGAAAAGGCAATGCGGACTCCACTGAAAGCGTCTTTGTCTCCTTCCTTGCGTTGCACACTTTTGCCTTTAAATTGGAGTACAATACCCTGGGTATAGCCAGATAACCAGACCCAGCCAACCGGGCAAAGTCAGTCGCCAGGCGTGTTACGAGTTTTTTCCGCTTCTGGTTAGCTGGGCCCCCGAGGCGCCGTCTGTGCTCGTAAATGTTTTGGTCATTAGCCATGGCGTGAAAACCAATAAACGCGTCTGGCCTATAGAAATAAAGAGGATACAAAAACAAAACCAAAGAAAATATCACAAAAATTGCAATCAAATCAAAAACTACAAAACAAAAGCAAAATGCCTTTATGATATGGCCATAAAAGCTGACCACGCTGTCCCAACAACAATGGGCCAATTTGCGGCGCTCAATAAAAATAATAAAAATATTGCAATTTTTGTTAAAGCCAACCATTTTGGCCACACTCCACGGGTGTAAGCTCTTTAGTCACTTGTTTGTTTTTCTCTGTGTCATGTATTTTTCCATTGCGGCACGTTTATGAGTTATTATCGTGGGCAGCGAGTGCTGTTCAATGTGCTTGTGGTTCGATGGCCAGGTGCCACGCCCCCTCACGCTGGGTCGTCATTGCGGGGGGGCGGCTTTAATAACAAACCTTTGATTTATCATGTATTTAATGTGGTTTTGTCTCGCTATCTGTCGGTCCCGTTGCGTTCTTCGGTGGTTAAATTAATATTGATGATTTGAGCACAACACGTTGTGACAGGTGTAAAGGCATTGCCAAATGTTGATGGGTACGAATTCCCGTTGGGTTCCATAAATCATTCTGATTGACCCAAACGGAATGGAGCTGTCAAATTCGTAATCCAATATCCTTTTATGAAATTTCATATTTCCTCGAACTTTTAATATATTCAATAATATCGAAACCATCGCTATAATTTAATGACCAACCCAAAATGGTTTTTCCAATGAATTTCCCTCGTAAATGTGTAACCACATATTACATAAAAAAGTTTGCTGCCATTTAATTCAGTTCTCGGCCATGCTTTTCACACTTCAGAGGGCAGGCCCTCTCGTATAACTTCTCACATCGCACATACGCCCCACTGCCCATTACGCATTCGCCCAGTGGTAATCATTTCTGTAAACTGTTTTCGATCTCCGCCCCGTGCGGTCACCCCGCATCGCCATCATTCCGGGCACGTAAAGAGAAACCTTTTCGCCCTTTTCGTGGCCCACAACCACACAAGCGAACTCCGCCTGGGGAGCGGGATACAAATGGCTGTCCCGGGCAACTTGACTTGACTTGTCTGTCAGGCGGCAAAACAAATGGAGGAGCCCCAAAGCCGCTGGAAAAACTATTTATATGCTGCCCCAGGCTTTGTCGATTCGGGAGAGCTTGGCGTAAAAGCGATGGCACCACCCCGAACCGAATAGATGGAAGGATCTTTGATGGTTGTCCATCGCGTTTATTGGCAACACATTCGAGCGCATTGTCTGCATCTGCGGTGCGTCTTCGCCTTGATTAATCGACATGCGGACATTCAACTTTTGCAGCGCCAGCAAAAGGAATCTCAGTCAACACTGCTGGCATAATTCCACGTGCCTGTCGCGTTCCAAAGTTTTTTTTTGCTTCTAATTGGCAGAGACTTTCTCCAAGGCACTACACTCTAAAAAAAAGATATTGAAATGAATAAATTGACCAAATTCTGATTTATAAGTCCAAGAAAAATCCTAGTCTTCTATACAATTTTGTATATAATAAGATAATTTGTCAAAAATATGGACTTTTTGGCAGAAAACTTAGCATTCAACATATAATCAAGACAAAACTACTTTTTTCACAACATTTTCTGGAAAATATCATAGCTTGCATTAATACATTTAGTTTAGACACATATCTTTTTTGGAAACTGAAATATTAACTTAAGAATATTGAAAATTAAAAAGGATCATTCAATCATAATTCGTCCATTAGTTTATCTTGTTTGAAAATGTTACTTTTAAAAAAGAAACGTGTTTTTTTTTCCTAAAAATTCTGAATGATGTGGGTAATTTTTTGACGAGTGTAGCAACACCCACATACGCACTAGTGCTATCTCATCTGGGAAACGCAAAACGCCCCTACTCCAAGCTAGAAGACTCCATTTCCTCCGTTGCTGGTCCTCTTCGCCTGGATCCTGTGAGTAATGTTGTTGCTTGTGTTGCTAAATGCTAACGATGACGAGGCCAGGGGATTGGGGGATGGGGATGCGGAAAGGGGGCGGGGAGTGCGTCACAGGACGATGATGATAATGGCCTCGTTGCCATTACTTTGTTTAGCTGCCTGCTGGCGCAGCTCCTTCTGGCTTGCGTGGCTGTTGTTGTTCCCAGCTTGTTGGCTTAATTGATTTAGTTGAAGCTGCACAGAGTTTAATAGTTGCTCATCATTTATGTGGCGCCCGAGCAGCCACAAGGAGCACAAGGAGGTCTTCGCACCGGACGGCTTATTTGGCGTGGCGTTTCATTTTCGCCAGCACTGTGCCACATATTTCGACACGCTGAGTGCTGAGTGCAAACCGGTTGGGAAATTTCTACGAGACGAAACGGGAGTGACACGTTCCGTCGCATGCAATCGAGTCGGGCTATTGAGTCAACGCCAACTGGTCAACAATGGTCAACCTCCCTGCGAAGCTCGGATTGCCAACTGACGCCTCAGAGCCATGAATGGCGTTTTATCTAATCCGCGGCAAAACAGCGAGCCGGCAGTTGGTGCATTTAAAAAACCATTTTAATTATTTATTAGCAGATTAAGCAGTAAGAAATTTCAAGAATCTGGACTGGATGCCGGGGTCAGTGGGAGAGTTTCTGTCCAGTCGATTGCTGAGATACCCTAAACATGAACCTTTTGTGTTAGATAACATTCTTCATCAATCAACCATTTTATAAGTAATTAAATTCTGTACTGTTCTTAAGGGAAGCTTGAAGCTTCTGACTAAGAATCAATCTCATTAGCAAATATTATCCATGGTTTTTACATATGTTATATATAATGGATTTACAAGACTTAGAAAGGTGTAAAGGTATATTGTCGTTCTTGTTAAATAGCTATAAAATGTTTATTGACCTCGTATTAAAACACTTATACTGCTCTTCTGCTCTTTATAGCTTAATGAATGGTGTTTGGTGGGTAATAAGTGTGACTTTATGACAACTTATGTTGGTTAAGTCAGGTCAAAGAAATATAAATGAAAGTTTAAAGATAATTATATTTAGTGTACTTCAATTTTTATAAATTTTTCTTCTGCAAAGTGAAAATCCTGATTGACAAGAAACCGCTCGAGAAGTTCTTGCCAACGCCGTATATGGCTTCATGTAGGACAGCCAACGTTCCGAAGAGTGGCCCGTGTCAATCAAAAGGCCAAGTTCAGGTGTAATTCCAACTGCGTCTTTTGATCGGCTGCTCGGACTTATGGTGCACATTACACACATTAACAAGATCATTGTCTTTCGTAATTGTTGTTGCCGCAATTAGCGTTGGTAGCACTTGATTTATGCAGGTGCCATGCAAAGTGGCAGCAGCTTCCAAGTATAGTCAGTGCCGCTACTCGCAATTAATCAGCACTCGCTGCCGGCGATCCGTACTCACCGTATAAAAGCCGGCCTAGGGCATTGCCAACTGAGTCAGTCCCGCCGTGGAAGCAGTCGAGCACGGACTCGAAGGGATCGGTATTTAGCTGGCTAAGATGCGTACCACAGTGGTGAGTGTATTAAGGACGATTCCAGATGCGGAGGGTGGCTCATTTTATACTTTCCCCAACAGTTTCTTCTACTCGGCCTTTTGGCCATCAATTACAAGGTCGCCGCCCATGTGGTGTCCTTGCCGCTTCTCCCTTCTGCGGGCACCTATCTGCTGTCTCCGCCAGGACCCGTAGTCCTGTTGGTCCAGCCACCACCTCCTCCACCGCCAGGGGATGATGGCTCCTACAAGCCGCCTTCGAGCGCCGAAGATGGCTTGTGGAAGCCACAGCCAGGACTGGAGGGTGAGTACTCGGAGCCGGAACTAAGCCAAAGTGGCAATGGAAGCGTCGGCGCCGATGGCTCAGTTAGTTCCGATGGCTCCGGATCCGTTGACGCCCAAGATGCCCCAGCTCCTGCTGCGGCTGGAGGAGCAGGAGAGGCTGGAAAGGCAGGACAGGCTGGTGGTGTTCTCGGCGGCGCGGGAGGAGCAGGTGGAGCTGGGGGTGGTGGCAGTGCCGGCGGCGGAGGCGGTGGAGGAGGCGGCGGTGGCGGTGGAACTGCCACATCCGGCCAGAGCGGCGACACCGGCAAGCCGGGGGCACCGAGTCCGGCGGGACCCCAGCCGGATGGTGAGGATGGCGCCGATGGGGCCGATGGGCAAGATGGTCCGGATGGCTCGAAGGGCGGAAAGGGCGGCAAGGGTGGCAAGGGGGCACGCAATGGAGCCGGAGGCGGAGGTGGAGCCGGCGGAGCTGCTCCGCAGCCACCACCGCCGGCAGCAGTCCTCCCGTCCAGCGTTCCCGCTCCCGTCTGGGCCGATCCAGAGTTGAATGTGGTGTAAGCTGAAATACTGTACAATGTGTCAATCTTTCTCTTAATTGTTATACCCACTTACAGTCAGGCTCAGTAGACGTCCGACGCGACCTTTGTGCCATCTGCTTTAACCCCTCTTAATAGCCGATTAAGTTATCCGTAGTCTTAAAGCTAGTCAATGTTTTGGAGCTCACATTTACCCTAAGCTAAGGCAAGCGAATAATAAAATTCGATTAAAAAGATCTGGTTATTGGCATTTTATTGCTTCACACCTGGTGGACAAAGGTCAAATGTTATCCATTAAATATGTTTGCCTAATGGATATGGGTCTCTTTTCGCAACCTCTATTACTCGTTCTCCGAAGTGTTCTATATTTGGACTGAATAAATATTAGAGCAACCTCAGCATCCGCCAATTAGAATCGGTGTTGTAACAAAGCTCTGACAGCAGCTTTCAAATGTCAGGTTTAGTGACGCATAAATTATGCCTAAAAGTAGGCAAAGTAATTTACATATGATTTTCCCTAGTCGTTTTTCCAGGTGAAAATGTTAATGGAATCGAAATCAGTTGATGTTAAGTTTGAAAAGGGAAATACGCAGACATATTTCAGCTAACATTGAGTCATGTGTGGGTGGGTTGAAACTGAATATTCATGTGGGAAAAGGTCAAATGAACTTTGCCTGAGGAGACTATATAAACCTTTGGCTATCTGAGTTTAAAGTTTGCAAGCAATTTATGCTTAGCTGTTTTTAGCGTTTTCTATTCCATGTCAGTTTCCTACAGACCATGCCCCATCATTGACGATGCAAAGTGTTTCTTCGATTTTCTCGCTTTCGTGTGGCTTACTTTGTTGCACAAATTGCGCGAATTGCTGGAAATCGAATTTCCAACGTTGCACTATCTTCTTTGCAACAATGACTCTGCCTTTGCCGTGTGTGCTTGCACTATTTGTGAAGACGTTTTCGAAACGTCGCACAAAGTGAATGAATCCTTATCGGAGCTGCGACAAAGTATCAGAGCGAACTTATCCCCGATTCGCGGAATAAAGTGGATTGCTTAGAAATTGGTTTATCAATTGGAAGAGAGCCAAAAAGCACTAAGCCTTTCACAAACTTTAAGAGCCTTATATTCAGAAAAGGTTTATATGGGGAAAAGAAAACATACTTAGCCAGAATAGAAAATATGTGCTTAAATATTTTTCGTTTCACAATTGTGACCGCAATAAGAAGGTATTAAGGTCAATCTTGGATAAATTGATAACAAGCATAAATATAAATATTAAATTATGATAACTAAATGTTAAAAGAATTTTGATCACAGAGTAATTAATTCTAATGTTTTTGCACACTTTTCTTGGTGTGTTGTGTCTGCGTAAAAGAATATTAATAATATATGCCTCCTTTCCCACCAGAACAGCACTTTATAATTTTTATTGAACAATTACCAATATATTTCGACACTCCTGCTATTGCAACATTTATTCAAATCAGATCAATTAGGCCATAAATTAACGCCTCAACCATAAATTAAATTGATGCAAAACATAAAAGCCATTTGACCAAAGATATGCAAAATGCACCTCATGCAACGCCCACTTTAAAATAAACCGAAAATAAAGACAAGAGAGCGGCAGAATGCCAGGGCTTAAAATCGCCTATGAATTGTGTTCATGGCTGAGAGTTGGTTTACTTAACGGCTCTGTGTGGCAGTTTTTTGGCCAAATCCGGGCCCTGGGCGCAGGGCCAAATGCCACACAACTGGCCAGAGTTCTGGCCAAAACCGCAACGGGCTTCGATTAGTTTACCCAACTGGCGGGAATGGGCGGGCATGCAAATGTAATTCTTCAATCCGAATGAAATTTTTGAAAGCACGGAATGAGAAGCAATTGTGAGTGCAAATCAACGCCGGCAGTTGCAATAATATTGCTTGGCCGAAATTAGTTGGCAGCACTGCCGATGCACATTCACTTTTGGCTGGAACGGACCACGCCCCGACACTTGTGGCTTTCGGTGGGCGGTGGTTCCAGTGGTCTCGCTACCGTTGAATACCGGGTGCTGGGTGCCAAATATTCTGAACTGCGGATAAACAATCGCATGGCCGGTAATTCGAACAATTTCGACTTTTATGTGCTGCCTGGCGTGTAATTAAATTAACTGGCGGGTCAGTAACCGGATCGCAGTCGAAGTCCCACCTGCCCCGAAGGTCGTATACACATATTTTTAAAACCGATTTCACTTATTGCCACTGTTAGCCGACAATTGGTCGTAAATCGAAATGCCAATGCATGCTTAATGAAATGGCAAGCAGCCAACCCATTCCAGGATGGGTCCCGATATTTACGATAAGTCGAGCTGGGCGCACCCTCCGCTTGTTTATGCGTGGAAAATTGAAAATCGCTGCCCACATTTTCACCTGCCCGCTGACCTTTGCGTGCCAGCCAAGGGTTGTTAATTTTTAATTAGCTGCCCCACAGCCCGCTTGCGTAATAAACTAGGTCCCCACTCGCTCAAGGTCGCTGATTGGGCCGAAAGGTTGCACTTGAATTTATGGCCCCGGTGCCAGACTTTTGGCCCTCTTTTTGGGGAGCGCACATTCAATTCCGACTTGACAAATGCCTGGCAATCTATTTACTCAAATTGTTTGCCCAGCTTCCCTTCGCCAATAGTTCGAGTCACCCAAAGTCGAGTGACACATTCCCCACATAAGACACACAATTTTGCAGGCGGCTAGGCAAAAAATACAATACTCATACCGCATTGATTGATTGTTTGTTCGCTCTCAGTGTCGTGCCGCATTCAGCAATCCTCTGCTGGGAATGCTGCCACGCCCACCGCCCACCGACTCCCCCTGGAGGCATTTCCACACAGCCCACACAAACACATCCATCCGGTACATGTGTGGGTATGCAAATTTCAATCGTTGCATTGCAAATATTTATATTCCTTTCAATACAGTCAGTGGGGTGGGGGGTTATGATGGTGGGTTAGTTGGTTGTTCTTTGGGTGGTGCAGCAGTTGACCTGTGACTGGTTCATATCCGTAGGGTGGAAATGGAATTTCCCACAGACACAGGCGTACCTCATAACAGGATGCCCTTTTAATTAATATGACAAAACAATAGAAATAGCATACAAATGTGAAATGAAAATAAAAATGAAAAATACGGGTGGATAAATTAAATTCAAGCAAGCACAAAGCCAAGTCAGTGGCTGCAGTTTTTAAGCCTAGTATTTATTGAACTAGTCAACTGTTAAAAATATTTACATGAAATTTGAACACTCTTGGAGTTAAGTGCGTTTTTGTATGTCAGACACACAGGTATTTGCAAAAGAAACTCCGGTAGTTTTTTTGTCTACTTCTAAATGTTAAAATTAAACTTAAACCATTTGTTTGGAGATATGCAATGCAAAAAAAATAATCAAAAATAGGTATTATTAAAGGGAATCAAATATATCCAAACGTGAATTGTAGTGCGGAACATTTCCATCCGACTTAATGAAATATTTAAACACATAACAATAAATGTTATGGGTATAAAGCAAATTAATCCAGGTTTTCCAAAAAATTATATAATTGTATCTACCAAATGATTTGTTTGGCACTCCAAAGCATGAAATCAATCAAATGATTTTATTAAGCTCATCCAAATAAGTGTATAATAGATTTACATTTTTATGTCCGCAACCAAAATCCCACCGCCAATTCCAAACACTCGAAATGTGATCAAATACATTTTTGCAGTTTATTTGTCTGTTTGCAGTTTCATATAAAATATAGATTTATATCTGGTCAGATACATAAAGATTACAACAGTTATTTACAACATACTCATACAGCGTTTCTCAATTGAAGTAACACAAGAAGAATAGAGAGTTTGGGGAAAGGGAGAAGGGGAAGAGAAAGGCTGGTACAGAGAGATGTAAGTAGGTAGATGTGTGTGCCGTGACCTGGACTTGAATCCAAATCGATCGAAACCCAGCGGGCAAGGAAGCCGTTTTCAGAAACAACTTCAATCTCCCGGGTGTAGTCGCTTTTCCGTGTGTTTATAGTTGCTTTATGTGGACATTTCTCAGAGAGTGAAAGATAGTTACAGTAAGGAGACAGATAATAGACAGATAGATACAGAGATGGGAATGCTGCTTTAAAGTCGCACTCGGTTACGTATGCGCAATATCAACGTTACGCATACGCAACGCTGGCTGCGGTAGTCGGTTGGGCAGAGAGTATAGAGATGCTCGTCGTCAATCGGATGTGAAACCCCACTCGAGTTCCGACCCCTCGCCTTAGTAGTGGTCGTAGTGCGCATGGTACTGGCCATCATCCTCGTGTCCGTTTCCGCCATAGTAACCACCATGACTGGGGGCTCCTCCGTGTCCGGCGGCAGCCACCGCATTCAGATGCGCGGCACGAGCGTGCTGCACCTCAGCGGGCTCCACGGGCACTCCGTTGTGGATCACCGGGATGTGGATGGGTCCCTTGTGCGCGTAGCCGGTGGCGTAGCTGCTGTGGCTCTGCTCCCAGCGTCCGTCGTAGTGGCCATCGTCCCAGGATGATCCTCCGTGGGAGGCACCTCCGTGGGCGGAGGCCTGCGACAGGGCGGCGTAGTGGGCGGCCTTGGCGTGCTGCACCTCGGGCGTGTCGACGGGCACTCCATTATGGATCACGGGCACGTGGTAGCCACCGTGGGCAATTGGGGCGATGGCATGTCCGGAGCGGGCGGCGGCATGGGCGGCGAAGTGGGCGGCCTTGGCGTGCTGCACCTCAGGCGTCTCAACGGGAGCTCCGTGGGCATGGGCCACCTGACCCAGGGCCTTGGCGTGGGCGGCATAGTGCTCGGCCTTGGCGGCCTGCACATCGGGCGTGTCGACGGGCACGCCTCCGTGGGTCAGCGGCACGTGGGCGGCCTGTCCGTAGGCCCAGCCTCCGCCGTAGATCGACCGCTTGTACAGGTGGTGTCCGCCGGCATTGTGGGCGGCAGCAGCGTGGGCGGCGGCATGGGCGGCCTTGGCGTGTTGCACCTCGGGTGTATCGACAGGAACTCCGCCGTGGGTCAGCACCGGGATGTGGATGGGTCCGTGGGCGTGGCCGTGGGCGTAGGGCACATAGGCGCCGTGCGAGTGGGCGGCGGCGTAGACGGGGGCGGCATGAGCGTGGGGAGCCTGTGGCAGGTTGGTGCCCACGGCATTGAAGCCGTGATGCGGATCCGCGGTGTAGGACACTGACTGCACGTGACCATGACCGTCCACGTAGGAGTAGGAGCCGTGCGTGGTGCCATCATGGCCGCGCGACTCGTGCTTCTGTGAGTTGGGATCGGCGTATCCGTAGGAGTAGGTGTGGCTGTGCGGGTCCAGGTGCTGGTACTGTGTGGAGACGGCTCCGTGCCACGAGGCGGACACCGTCGAGACCAGCAGGGCTGCGGCAATAAACTAAACAGCGAAACAAATGATTTAAGTTTGACTTCAGCGAGTTAAATATAGGAATATCATCTCAGTCTCCCAACTACGGGTTATAAATAGCAAAACACCACTTATAGTATTTTGTTTTTATTGTCGTTTCATTTTTTACCCAAAATACTTAATTTCTAAATTCTAATTTAAAATAATTGACTTATAAATTTAATGAACTTTTGTTTTAAAAAAGTAAAAAAAACACATTTAGTTAAAAATAAAATTGTTTATAAAACTAACTTTTTATAACAAAAATTAATTCTTGTCAAAATCATATCATAACAATCAATGCCTAGTTTTGTAGTTTATTAAAACCTACTAAAATTCTATTAATATTATAATAAAAACGTTTTAATACAATTAAAGTAATGTATATATTTGTTAAATCGCTTACTAAGACACCTTAGAACTGACATAGTTAATCCTTAAAATACCGTTTCAATAAAAACACGATAATACTGTAACATTTACTAGTTTCTCACTGTTTAGAAGAGGTGAGACGTGGGATTATGCCATGGCTCAGTAATTACTCTCGCGGTAGCCACCGCCTAAAATCTTTAATCGCAGGTGTCACTCAATGGAAGCTTATAGGCCGCCTCTGCTAACCTAATTACAGGTTTCGCTTTTCTTGCGCTTGCGCCAACGTTTTCCTCTCGCTTTTCCTTTCCCACACACACTGACACAAGCCCATCTCTCCACTTTTCCTCTGGAATCGCTTTTCGAGCGCTGCGAAGCGCAACCATTTGATTCGATTCCGAGATACTCATTCGGCCAATTCGCAGATATTACCACATGCGGCGCGATTATGTACCATATTATGTGTCAGCGGGTGAGTGGGGCAGCGGGTCGGAAAGTGGTGGAAAAGCGGTTAAATAAACTGTCCGACATGCAACATGTCAACGGCTTATCAACGGGATATCGCACAGAATTCGCTGGCAGCTGATGTTTTTCTGGGTGGTTCGCTTAGCATAAAGTGCCGGCTTAATTGACTCTCGGATGGAGCGGAAGGATTTATTTATATCGGTAGCTGCAGCACAGGTGCCATTCCATTTGGATCGGAATTTAAGCGAATCGAATGTAATTCACAGAAGCAATGACAATTTAATTTGAAAGTAATTGAGGTACTAGCTCAAGAAGAATGCAAAGAATGCAATCATATTTTATGCCAAGTCACTATCATACTAGTAATTAAATACAAAATGGAAACGGTTTTAAAAAAGCTTGGTTTAAACAATCATTTCATCAAATTCTATTTTTGTAATAAGTTTTCCATTCTTAAGGTCAGTTGTGAGCAATATTGAAATGGAAAGATATGAAAATGGAACTGACCAACTGAAATAATGTATATCTGAACTTCCTAATCTTTTGTACGATAAAATTAACAAAAATTAAATTAATTTTTGATTGATTTCTTGATTTCGTTGATTTCTTCTCGCAACGTTTACTTTGGTACTAAAATCTTTAAGCTTAATTTAAACTTAAACACTCCGTTAGTCGAATACTTTTTATAAATCCTTTTGCTTGACGTTATCCTTTTGATCGCATGGTATCGCATACTTACGAATGGCTTCATTTTTGTTTAGATCACACGGCTGAGCTTCGAAAAGGAGTTTCGGGGGATACACTGGGGATGAGCGGAAGACTAACTACACACGGCACGACACAAGCACTGGTCGCTGGACGCTGGTTGAACCTCCTAGAACCACGACTAGGACTGTTAACGAACTGTGCTGACTGTTGGCTGGTGGCCCTAATATATACCGCCCGAGACCGGCGACTGGAGACTGGGGAGCAGCGACACTGGAGCCGAGACTCGGGCTGAGACGCCGGCGCATGCGCAACATTGGTAACAGCAGCAACACCAGCAAAACAACAGCAGCAACAATGGCAAAACACCAGCAATATCGGCCGTACAACAAAGACAACGAGAGCAAGAGCAGAACAATGTAATCGAATTACCACTTTAATCGGGGCTCGAAGCGGGTTTTGGCCAAAGCCGAAGTGGATATCGAAGCCGCAGCCGAATGTGTATCAAATGGTTTTGGTAGGAGAGCGCTGCAGCATGTTGCTGGCGTGCCGCTGCACTAGCAACATGTTGCTCGTGCGTTTCTGCCGCTGCGTTTGTCACTGCGAAAAGCAGCTGCCATGACCTTGCTTTCAAAGCGATTTAATTGCCGGCTCAGTTTCGACTGGGCTTAAACGATTGAGGTTTCTGTTTTTTTTTTTTGAGGGGCTACCTCTTTAACTTCCGCGCTATGAGCAATTAGCACTCATTATTTGGCCACGGGATTAGGCCGATCTTATCGCTCTGTGCCTTTCCAAAAAACGCCCAAGAGACCCGCCCCAAGCTGGCCGGCGATCAAATTAAAAAATTCTTACCCACCGCTTGCAACATGCCCCAACGGGGGCCATAACGAAATGTGAGCTGGCCAATTTCTGGGCGTTTGCCTCTTTAATCATTGAACTGCATCGGAAAACGAAACGAAAAGTTTGCAAATTAAAAATAAAAACAAGAGCACGGCCCAAAGAAGCCAGCGGAAAACAAAAGACAGAAAAATGGGTTTTCTATCCACTTTTGGCCACTGACGCTGCCGCTGTTGTTGCCACATGTTGCAGCATTTCTTTGCAGTCCGCTAATCTAGATGTTGCACTCACAAGTACACAGAGAGAAAAATTATAAAAAATACATACTCCAAATAAAGATGCTACTTTCCAAAAGACTTTCAAAAAACAACTTCTAATAGTTAAAGGAATATAATATTTAATATAGATTGCAATAAAATAAATTTTAACATTTCATTACTTATGATAATTATCATTGGGTTGCTAGTGCACATTTTAAGGAGTAAAGGTAAAATTCTAAGGTAGTTATAACAGGCATTTTTTGGCTCAGTGCACCAACGAGCCTCCTTGGTCCGTTGCAATATAATGAGTGGCTGCACTCCGACTGGGTTCGATTATTTGCATTCGATAAGCGCCATCGGGAGAGCGGGTATATGTATATAGCTCTACGGCTCTATAGCTCTGGCACACTCCAAATTCTCGTACTCGTATCGGCAACTTAATTTGTTTGCCTTCGCCTGCCGCCAATTTAATTTGAATAAACCAAATGCAAACTGCTCTTTTGAACTCGAATGTGTGTTTTGCGCGGGCGGGCGATCGTTTTGGGGCGTGTTTGACATTTTTGCGGTATGCGCAACATTATAAATTATATTCCCCGTGCCACTTTTGTTTTCATTTTATTAGCTCGGCCCACTGTCGACAGCTGTGGGCTGGCTGACTGGCTGGCTGAGTTGCTGACTGGCTCAAGTGCAATCCACACATTTGTGGATTGTCGAGGTGCCCACCTTCAGCCAGTTCCAACACAATCCAGCTCCATTTGCGAGCGTAATTATTGTCTTGGTTTTCCATCTGAGCGCTACATACTCGGGTGTCGGGCATATAAATTCTGATTTGTATCTGGGGGAAAATTAACTAATTACCTGGTAATAACACGTATTATGCAATCAGAATCAATTTATCTAAATGTATTTATAATCTAAGTCGTTCAGACTTGAGTGTTATTTAAAATGTAGGCAATGTATTTCTTTGAACGCAAATATATGTGGAAGGAAATAGAAATCATAAATAGATCAGTTAATAAAAAGTAAGTGTAGAAAAACATTAAATTGATAATCTATTTCAAAAACTAGACCATGAACATGTTAAGCATTATTTCATTCGAATTAATATTAATTATATTTCAATGATTTAAATTACGCCAAGTAAAATATTTTGCTTAAACAAAGTAGTCCTAAACATCTTCAATTAGTAATTGTTATTGTATTGTTTCCAAAAGCATATGCTGGTCTGACTCATTTCGCGCTAAACATTTTCCACCAAAACTATTTTCAGTGATTGTCTTTTCAGCTTACTCATTGTTTGCTTAGCACGTTCCAATGCCAAACTGTCTTTTCGACCGAAAAGAAACATTCGAAACAATTTAACTTTGAGCAGCTTAAGAGTCTCCCAGAATTCTATGCGGCTTTTAAGATCCGTAGATACAGGGAATGTCTAACAATTGCAGGCCACAAAAAAGATTTACTCAAGTGGGCGTGGGCTGGGCAGAACCTCCTTCGTTTTTGCCTTTACTTGTTGCCTTTGATTTGTTTGCATATATGCAAATCGAGCCGGGATGCAAAGCTGAATAGATATTTTTCGATAAATTGCTTTGTCAATTTCAGTTCTTATTTAATTGCTGTTATTTACAGTTATGGGCAGGAAAAGAACATTTGCATAGAGTTACCTTAGTGTGGGCAGGTGTTGACTCTGCAATTGTTTGTATTTTTTTTCCCATTGAATATTTACACATGGCTAAATCATGTTCAATTAATTGAACTAGCTGTTAAACAACATAATTAAGATGGATAGCGGGTGGTAATGGTCACTAGTCCAGTGGCTGACCACTTGCGACCTGTGAAGCCATTAGGCAAATGAAGCGTGGTCTGCTTCTAGCAGCAGCAATTAATTGAAATGAATATTTAAAATTCTGCCGGCAAGACAATAAAATTCTGCATGGCGTGACGCAACCGAAACTGGCTTGGCCAATAGCAATTGCAATCGGAATTAGCATGGCAACACTAACGTCGATACCTTCCAACCTGGTAACGCATCACTGAGCCAAAAGACAGTGGATCTGTAGCCAAAAAATAATTGAAAACAACTAATTGGCATTATTTTTCATATAAGAAAATAACAAATAAACATTACAAAAAGTATTAATATCAGTACCGTAAATAAAAACAATAAATAAATTTTAAATAATTTTTTTCTTGTCATGAAAATAAATGAAACTAATTAAACTAATCCATTTATAACTTTAAATGAGTAAATATTGTCATTGCACCAAAAGTACTTGTTAATTTATTCTCTAAAAACACGGAAATCAAAAGAAAAATTAAGTATCTTTTTTTTTTTTTTTTTTAAATTTTATTTAAATTAAACGTATATTTCGATGGTAAGATCTAAAAAGATAACATTTAATCACATTTTCTTCAATGAAGGGTGATCAAAATTTTGCACATTTGTCCCATCGTCCTTCTTTGGCATTGAAATTCCTCTGGCAAAAACAGACTTTGGCCATTCAGACGGTCTGCCCTGCTTTGCCCAGCGGTGCAGTGAAGCGTTGAGTGACTTTTGGCCAGGCGGATGCAATCGGAGCGCTCGCGGGTGTAAGTGGCGTCTTGGGAATGGCCAATTGAAGGCAATGGCAAAAGCAATCGCGTTTGTTGATTTCATTCTTTGCTTCATTTTTGAGCTTTTTGTTCTTACACAAACTGTTGCTTCGGATAAAAATGTTAATTGCTCGGCCAGTTGTTGGCCATAAGACAAATAAGTTTATGGTGCGAGAAGTAAGCATTTCGTGGCTACAGGGTGTTAAAATAGGTTCTGGTGGTTTACTCTTGGTTGCAATTAAAGAATAAGAGTATAGATATCTTTACTCAACTCGATATTCCGCTTCAGTAATTATCTACTACAAGAATGTCTAAAACACCCTGTTTGCCGCCATTCAAGAATTAATTCAGTGTGCTAAGCGTGCATAGCTAAAATAAATCATTAAAATTTATGAATTTAATTGGCTTCAATTATAGCCACAGATAAAATGTAAAGCAAACTGCAACAGCTCTAATCGAATCGGATTGAATGGCCAGCCAAGATCAGGTAGTTATACTCTTTTGGATTTGGCTTCGGATCGTGTTGAATGGTCGGCGATTCGATTCAATTTGATTTCATGAACAGGGGCCACCCTAACGTGGAATTACGAAAATTACACCCAGGGACTTTGGCCAACATATTATTAGGGTGTAGCTGACGAATGAACCGGGCCAAGGGGCCACCGCCCAAAGGGGGCGTAGCCCAGCATCCATAAGTATGTGTATCTGCATCTGCATCCGTGGTTGTCACATGGCGGGCCAAACTAATTGACAGAATGCTGGTGGGGTTAGCCAACCCAAAGTTGCGGGCGTTGCTGGCGGGTACATTAAATTGCAAATTTCTCAGATGATTGATTGGAAACGGGCAGAGCCTGAGCTTGGCTCTGGGATGCCGCTGCTGGGTGCAGTGGCGCAGATTCCTTCCCAGATGGCCGGCGTGGGAGGGTACGGAGGTTCTTGGCGGTATCGGAACTGCGATCTAATGGCCCAGTTCGAAACTGGTCAAAAGCGCAGTGTGGCAGTGTGGCAGGCTGGCATCCAGCCATAAGCAATTTGACACGCCACAAACGGGTTTCTGTTCACTTGCAACATCTGGGCCAGCAGCGAGTGGTTGGTTGACCAGCTGGGCGCCAGTTTGCCACCTCTCCTCCGCCTCCTCGCAGGAGGCCACTCCCACACATCGCCGGATTCCTGCAGTTGACACACGCACACACCCACATGTGTCCTGGCCGAAAATGTCGCACAATCACGAATGGGCCAGCGCGGTTCTGGCCAGGTTTACGGGCCCACCAATTTGATATTTCCATTTGCTAACAACGCAAATCCGCCGCATGACAGTCATCGTCATCCCACAAACTCGCGACCCCCGTGACCATTAAGTGCGCCCAAGCGAATGGACAACATTTTTGGAGGCGCACCCGCCAATCTGGCCAAAAAAAAAAAATAGAAAAGTGCAGAGACACGAAAATCCGTGGCTAACCCACATGCATAAAACGAGACCTTAAAACTCCAAACTGACCAC